AACTGATTCAAGTAAAGAATATTACTGTCAAAGTTCTAATAAAATCAAAATATCATTCAAAAGTATTGAATATGCACTTATTATTACAACATGAATTGCTATAAAAAAAAAAGTTGCACTTATTAATTTATTCGAATTTCCTTTTTTAAATATAAATACAGTATATTTCCATAATTCTGTCGGAAAAATTTTACCGTTTTTTATTTCAACTAGTGTGCGACTATCTTACATCCGATCAAAAATATTTTTTTATTTAGGTAATCTCTGGATTCTCCTCCTTCAAACGATATATTGTTGGTCTTTCGTTTTTCATGTTTTCCTAGTGAAATTATCGGTCTACGGAATATACTTTCACCTGACAGAATTAGGTAGTAGTTCCCTAATCCTGACGGCCAGCAAAAAAATGTCTCTAATTATGACGCCTCTAACAAGTTACACAGAAAAACTTAATTTTAGAAAAGAAACTATTTTTTTCATGAGAAATGGAGGAGAGATGACTGAGACATTTTTGTAGAGCGCATCAAGCTCTATCATAGTCTAAAGGTTCAAGACAACCGTATTTTCATTTATCAAGATACAGACCTTGGAATGAAGACATCTAAAGGTTGCGGAAAAAAGTTATCCCTAATTCTGATGGTAACTTTTTTTATCTCTGATTATGACTTCTCAGTAATTTCTTGTTCCTGATTACGACGGTAACTTTTTTTTTGTCCTACATGATAACAGTTAACTATTCCTGTGATGATACTTCATTACAAAATTACTATAGATCTATAGTAATTTTGTAATGAAGTATCATCACAGGAATAGTTAACTGTTATCATGTAGGACAAAAACAAAAGTTACCGTCAGAATTAGGGACAACTTATTTTCCGCTACCCTTAGGTGTCTTCATTCCAAGGTCTGTATCTTGATAAATGAAAATACAGTTGTCTTGAACCTTTAGACTATGATAGAGCTCGATGCGCTCTATAAAATTGTCTCAGACATCTCTCCTCCATTTCTCATGAAAAAAATAGTTTTTTTTTCTAAAATTGAGTTTTTTCTGTGTAATTTGTTAGAGGCGTCATAATTAGAGACATTTTTTTGCTGGCCGTCAGAATTTGGGAACTACTACCTAATTCTGTCAGGTGAAAGTATTTTCCGTAGATCGATAATTTCACTAGGAAAACATGAAAAACGAAAGACCAACAATATATCGTTTGAAAGAGGAGAATCCAGAGATTACCTAAATATAAAAATATTTTTGATCGGATGTAAGATAGTCGCTCACTAGTTGAAATAAAAAATGGTAAATTTTTTCCGACAGAATTGGGGAAATATACTGTATTATATTTAAAAAAAGAAATCGGAATAAATTAATAAGTGCAACTTTTTTTTTATAGCAATTCATGTTGTAATAATAAGTGCATATTCAATACTTTTGAATGATATTTTTATTTTATTAGAACTTTGACAGTAATATTCTTTAGTTGAATCAGTTCAATTTTAATAATAAAAGTTTACATTACTTTATTATTCGACGATCAACACATCATCATCAGCAAAAAATATCATTCTGCGAGAGTAAATATTATTGACAAAAATGTGTGAAAGCAAAACCTTAATATAGATAATTGCCTAGAGTCTGCTGATAGAGATGTTAACTTTATTAAATGAGCTACCATGTACGGTTACGTTTTATTTAACATGTAATGAAGTATGATAATTTTCGTTGTTTGTTTTTCATCATCTACACTTTAAATAATACCTATCTTTTCTTTTTGTCCTGTATTACATAGATATTGTATTTAAATCTGCAAACTTTATAAATATCAACACTGAATCACATCATATTAAATTGAAATGTTTATGAAAAGTTCAACACGTATGAAAAAGATGTTACAAAAAAATAAGCTTTTGGATAAAAATTGCTCACAGTTGCTTAATAGAAAAAATATGATCTTTTTTTCTAAGATATTTTTATTATAATGAATATAACAAAAATACGCAATAGCCTTTAGTATTCAATTAATATTTTACACATTGTTCTCATGAAAGAAGATGTTAAAAAAAAACGATACATCAAGAAATTATAGAATGCATATTCATATTAAATAACATAAAACTCATTTCATATACCAATAAGATCAAAATACATTAAAATAAACTTACAAAACATATATTATATACTACATGAATAAAGCATTAGTCAACAATATCAATAGAGTTTTGAATGTGTTAAATTTTCAAATTTGTATTTGATATGATTTAACAATGTTCAATTAAAACTCATCTGTACCAATCAAATCATATTGTAGAATTCAAATTTTGACTTAATTTCCATTAAGTTCTGGTACTACTTGATTATTACTAATTATTGGTGGATGCCTAGCAATATTAATAAAAATGGGACTAAGTACATAAAGTAATTGTTGTCGAAATCGTTTTGATACAAAAACATAAATATAAAATGGAGCCTATAAATATATTAATAAATCAAATAATAAATTTTCAACAAAAATCATACTTACTGCAAAATATGAATAATAAAAAGCTCCGGTTAAAGATTCAATAAACTGTAATTTGGCAATAATAACAGGATCAGATCCGAAATCTATTATAGTTGCTATTGTTACAAATATTGCATAAGGCATAATGACAATAAAACTATAAACAACTTGTACAAGAACTATACTTGTTAATTGTTTATCTAATTCACGTCGAACAAGTGGAACTGTTCGATAAGCTAGTTGTTGAACATTTCTATATGCCAATGTTCCAAAAAGAACAGTAATAAAAACTGGTAAAAAACCTACTAGTACTAAAAAATAACCATAAGTTCTATAATGTTGATACATGGTATTAGTAACAGTACAAACAAGTTTAGTTGTAATAATTGATGGACTATAAGTATAATAAATAATCGAAGGAATTCCATGTAACGTTGAAAAAATAAAGGATGCTAAGCAAAGATAATATGCTAATTTAATATTACTCCATTGTTGCCATCGATAACGATTTGATGTTGCTAAATATTGATCAATTGTTGCAAAACATAAACATGCATATGAAGTTAATGTACATATCTGAATACAATACCATCTTATTTTACAATAAAATAATGAATTTAGTGTCCAATCAATATTATATCCAAAACTCATTATTCGACTTAAATTACCAGTAACTAATTGACCAATATTAACCCATGACATAATCATTAAATAGAATGAACATGAACTTTGTCGAAAAGTTTTAAGACTAAGAAATACCATGAGATTAAATATTCCACCAATAACACCGACAATTAAAATCGGAATGTTCATATATAAAGTAATTTGTTGAGAAAGATAGAGGTACAATGAAGTTGTCGACGACATATTAAAAAAAACTAAAAGTATGTATTCTTCGGAAATATATTCTTCTGTGTTGAAATAAGAGTATTATAAATACTATGATAGAAACAATCTAATGTTGACTTGTGACGTAGTATGTAATTAAGACTCCAGCATCATATGTTAATTTAAATAGAAAAATGAATATGCCAACAGTATTATAAACTACGCATTTATTGTTATTTGGTTAACGGTATGTCATTATAACTTTTGAGATATAACTAATTATTATAATTTTAAATTAAAAATAATGAACTATTTATTATAAAATTAAAGTAAATAGTAGAATTTATAGAATATGTTTAATAAAATAATAATATAAATATATTAATCAAGAATAAAATTCACAAAAATAAAAAACATTCATTTAAATTTCAAAGAAAAGAAATGTGTTGTTCGGAAATGCTCACTTTTCTTTTCTTCAAAGAATATTACAAAGAAGTAAAAAAGAAGAATATGAAACACATATTATCTTTATGCGATTACACATGAATTAGAGGCTCATAATAAGATATATAGACTATACAAAATATCAAAAAATGAAATGAATTGAATGAATATATTAGAGTGCATTGTATTCTTCTATAATTATGAATTTATGTCATTGAATAATCAAAATGTATTGCCGTACAATAAATTCAAAAACAAAATCCTTACTCATCTGCTTGTAGCTGAATTAAATTTCAAAAAATTAATATCCGAAAGTGCTTAAATCTCATAATATTCATTAAAAAAAAAATGAATGTACTTTATTCTGAGTACAGAAAATATGTTCATAATAAAATATCTCTGTTTA